AAGGTTGGAGGCCATCGCTAGTAGGTTGGAGGCCATCGCTAGAAGGTTGGAGGCTATCCCTAAAAGGTCGGAGGCCATCGCTAGAAGGTTGGAGGCCATCGCTAGGCCATCGCTAGTAGGTTAGAGGCCATCGCTAAAAGGTTGGAGGCCATCGCTAGACGCGATTTGAAAAGCAATCAATGTTTGAGCCATTTCTGTCCAAGGAAGTGTTGGTCTGTGCGGTTTTTGCAGTATGGAAGTGACAAAATCACAAAATACATTCGGAACATGGTCCGAATTCTTAATTGTATGCTTTGATCTCATTGGAATACTGTACATTTTCACGTAGAGGTTGGCTTCATGTCTTTCGCCGACAATATCATCCTGTTGTCAGACAGCGCCAAAGCGACTCATTGGTGGCAGTATCCTCCTGGGACTCAATATGTGTACAGTTACTTTGAAAGTGATGGCTCTGATCGCGAGGGTTGGGAAGATGTTGTTTTCTTCGGACTGCAGTATTTTCTGAAGCGGTATTTGACAGGCCAAGTCATCACAAAGGAAAAGATTGAACAAGCAGGAAAGATTTACGCACAGCACTTTGGAAACGGAATTCATGAAAATCCAGGCCGTTTCTTCAAAGAGGGTTGGGAGTACATTTTGGACACACACGGTGGCCATCTACCTATCAAGATCAAGGCGCTTCCAGAAGGCCAGGTTGTGCCCACCAACACTGTACTGATGACCGTTGTGAACACTGACCCAAGGTGCTATTGGCTAACAAGTTTTGTGGAGAGTTTGCTGACGCAAGTATGGTACTCCATTACAATGTGTACGGTCTCCCGAATGATGAAGCTGTGCATTCAGCGGGGTCACGAGGAGACAGGTTGTGAGAAGCTACCAATGGCGGTCCCAAATTTCCAGCTGCATGACATTGGCTTCCAAAGTGCGTCTTCCGTGGAGTCTGCTGCGCTCAATGCTTTGAGCCATTTGGTCAATTTCACTGGCTCAGACAGCCCCATTGCCAACATTTTGGCTTCAGAGTTTTATGGAGCAACAGAGGCCACTGGCTACGCCAAGCCCAGTGTCATTCCATCAACTATCATCACTTGGGGTCCTGAGGGTGAGCTGGAGGCCATGCGCAACATCTTAGACCACCACGGCAGTGTGAGCTGCTCAAGCGATTCCTTTGACACCATGACTACATGTCAGAAATATTGGGGCGAAGCACTGAGGGACAAGATCATAGACCGTTGCCATCTTGAGGAGGCCATCGCAAAGCAAGCTGAGATCGGGCAGCTTTATGTGCGACTCGAGAGGTGTGATCCGGATGAGATTGTTGGCGTACTCAAGATCCTCCTGGAAAAGTTTCCTGAAATGGTGTTTAGCACGGGTACTGGTCACAAGGTTCTTCCACCTTATGTCCGTGTGTGGGTGGCTGAGGGCGGTGACTACAAGTCCATTCCCCCAGTGCTCCAGAGGTTAAAGGAGGAGGGGATCGCCACTGTCAACCTCCGCTTTGGAAGAGGGAGTTCACAGCTGAAGGCTGATCGTGACACCTTCAAGCTCAATTTCAAATGCTCCGAGGTGGTGGGCAGCGAGGCACGTGAGGTTGGAACAGCAAAGAAGGGAAAACTCACATTGCAAAAAGCAGACAGCATAGACCTAGACAGCTCCAGTGGTTACCCTGCAAACAGTCTGGGTGACAACACAGGGTTCTTGCACTTTAGCAAAGATGGCAAATATGTGACAATTGCCAGTGGCAGAGGCAATCCAGAGAAGGATTTGCTTGTTGATGTCTTTGAAAATGGCCAGCTTCTCAAGGAATACACCTTCTCAGAAATCCGACAGCGTGCAGAGGTGCCAAATGGCAAGTGGTGCGTCAATCCTCCCGAGTATTATAAGAAAGGCTGAAAAGCTAAAGCAGTGAAAGTGGAGTGTACAAAAGAGAGTTCATGCTGCTCATGCTTGATTCTAGCTGTTTGTGGAATGTCGCGACTATGCTGTCAGCCAATGTTTCTATTTTCCGCGTTTACCTTTGTCCAAATTGTACGCTTTGTAGACAGCGTAGATCCGGGCCATTGGTGGCCAATCCTGCTCAAGCCAAGCAAGCACGCTTCAAGGTAAGGCTTCCGACCCGTTTATAAATGTTCGTGGTAAGCATCATGTTTTTGTTCCTCTTTTTTCTGAGTATCAGTGCATAAGTCTTTTTTGTGTGTTGTAGAGCAAAGGTGTTCTCTTTACATGTGGTTGCCAACACTTCCTGCATCCGGGCTCGTTGGCTCTAATGTGGATTTGACGCGGGGCAGGTCAGGAAGGCTTGTTCAAGCATTTAGATGCAAAGGTTGAGTTTCTAAGTATCTTCCTTGGTTTGCCCACATGGATACTCGTAGTCGCTTTTCAATGCGAGGCTTTTCGTGGACTTTTGTTGGGATCAGTATGTGTTTGTCCATTTTGATCCATTTTGGGCATGCGATTTGTAGCCAGTAATTATTTAAATATTAGAGTTACATAGGTTACATAAGAGTCTTTTTGTGTATGCAAGCAACATCAAAGAACACTCGTGCAAGAGAACGTGCGATGCTGGACCCCATGTAGTAGAAACTTGGCACAGCTCTTTGTGCAACAGGTTTCATGACCACCAACTTGCCCACAAGCTGGTCCTCGCCTCACTGGTGGCGGAAGCCTCCAAAACTAGGGATGCAAGAGTCTCAACATGTTCGGGGTGCTCCGGGATGTTTTGCAGAACCGCCCCCAACTCAGCTCGAACCTCGATCTGCACAGATTCAGGCAAGAGGTCGAGTCCATGCGAGACCACCCTCCGTAAATTAGGGGACGGGTCAGCTTGCACTTCTGGGATGCCTACCGACCGTGCTACCGTTTTCCACGGCACGAACAAGCATGGCGCATGCTGTTGCGGATTGGGCAGCAGTAAAGGAGAGTGATCTGCCACTGTTGACCCGGACTCTTGGGAGTTCTGATCTGTGGCTGCTTGCAGGAGTTGTCGCTCTAGGAGTTCAGCATTAGTTTCACGGGGGGATTCGACCGGCACGATCTCGGGATCCGCGGGTTCACTACCCCCCAGGAGTGTTTGCAAAGGGTCGAGGGCAATCGTGTGCCATTGCATTAACAGGCAGAACCTAAGTGCACTGTTACCTGCAAGAGCCACTGGGCTCCCTGTATAACAACACCCTCCGATCGGTTTCCAGGTGTCTACTACCCACGGGGCCGGGTAATGCGGCATACCTAGTAGAGCAATAGGTAATGTCTCCCACCCAAGCTGCGCTAGCTGGTTGAGGACTTCTGGAGCATCATTTTTCGCCCTGCCGAAGGCATGGAATATGACCGGCCGCATGCGATTGGAAGGGATGCGACTTGACTGAAACAGGTGCTCACCTGGCAAGGAGAGGGCTTTGCAAGGGCCTTCCAGGTGTGGTAACACTGACAAACAACCTTGCTCGAATGTGGCACGCGCCCAGCGAGTAAGCCACAGCGTGCGTTCTCGGCCTACCTCGGTCAAAGCTCCAGGGTGGGCCTTCTTGGGCCACTTGATTGCCTGCGGCTCTGATGTGGCATTCGCTTGAAGGTGCTGCATCGAGGGAATGGGCCAGAAGGTCCTGCACATGTATGTCCCATATATGGCCCACACAATGACGAGGTCGAGGGAGTTCTCCATGGGTACTCCAACGAGTGGGGTAAACATGGTTCCCCCCTGGGAGGTGCCAGTGGGGTTTTCTGGGGGCCGTGCCATAGCTAATAATTGGGAGCGATAGTCGGCAAGCTCATCCGCTAGCATCTCAGCCGTGGAGTGTTGGGTGACTGGACTTGGTCGGCTCTGGCTCCCTAGCGAAATGACAAGGCCTGCATTATATTCCAGGTGTGCTTCGGTGACTAGTAGCATACCCACCTTCTCCGTATGCTTTGGGTCATCTGGTGCAATCCCAACTAGGTCAGTCCATTGCATTTGGCTGGTAGCAAGAGCAACTAATTCAGGCGTCTCAAAAAGAGTTACCGGAACACAGTCGTTGTCCACCAATCCAAAGTGCTGCCGAGGGTACAAGAACCGAGCTATTTCAAGGACAAACACACCGGCCCAATAATATGGGACAGCTCGGAGCCCATTGTGTTGATTGGCAGTGACCCAGAGGACGTCGGTTTTTTCCTGATGGGGTCCGACCAGTTGGCGACGGGAGAGCCACCATTTTTCAAACGCAGGCCAGTATACGGAACCTCCCCTGGATCTCGGTTATCAACTATGAGGTAAACCATGTCGTTTTGTTGAATTCGATCGTCTTGCAGTTGCAGGAGACACTGGATGACTTCTGGGTAATTAGGGCCCCGCCCTGACAGATCGGCAGCCTCATATCCTTCATCCCTATCTACCGGTTGTGAGCGGACGTCGTCAACTTGACACTGCCCCCAAGTGCGTCTCGACTATGTTCGGTGTCCTGAGAGCTCTATAGGCTTGTGCGTGGACCTCATTGAGGGGCCTGTTGCGCCCATGAATAAACATGCGAGCCTTGGCTTTGGTGATCCATCCAGTACCAGACTGGATGTAGGGCGTGGGTAGCGCGCCTTCGTCTGCAAAACAGTCCGCAAGGTCCAGGTCATCGTCCTGCATGTGAGCTTCGCCATCTTCACTACTGACCGCCCAGGGATCATAGTCCCTGTCAGCCTGCCGAGGCATGTGGTGTGAAGGCTCCCTAGACCGACTGGCACCGACGGACTTGGTGCAAGTGGCGAGCCCCCAACTTGGGATGGGTACAGGCCGTGGCTTGTGCCGGACAAGGACCGAAGGCAGGAGTTACCACAGCGGATCTCGTCTCTAGGTGCCCTCCACTTGGGTGGACTACACGTTTACTGCAAAAACATGCACAAACATGCAAAGGCTCCGAGAGAAACGGTGTGGACTGTGAGCCAAAAGAGCTGCAGCCAGTTTGCACCTAGGCCTTTATGTCCCCACGTGTCTCATGTCTATTAAGTTTCTTGAAACATCAAATGGCAGACTACGCATGAGGTTACCTAACCCAATACCATACTTTGAGAATTTGTTTCACTTATATTCGGCATGGCAAAGAGCATGGAAGGCAAAGCAACCATCTAGACTGATCTGGTTACCAGCGCAGTCACTATCCTAGGTGCGCAGGCAGCTTTCGCTTTCCGCAGCAACCAGTTTGCAGACGACCTGCTGCTAACAGCCCCAAGGGGACCTTTGCAGCACACTCAACTCACGGAAACCAGCAAGGGCCACCTGCAGGGTGGAAACCAGTTGTGCCTTGATCTTGTTTGCATACCGACGCTGTTCAGCCCACGTCATAGTCGTCTGCGTTTGGGTGTATGCTGGCAAAAAGGAAGGCCGTAAACAAGAGGCCGTTGAGCTCGGCATGCAGACTGCTTGCAGATTCCAGCATCAGATTCCGGATCTCTGCCGGCACATGTGGAAGCAAAGGATCAAGTGCCTGCAAGGAGGCAATCATTCCTTGCACCCGCTGAAACATTGCAGTGTCTACTCGGTGGTGCTCTCTGACCATCTGCCGGTAGGCAGGTGCCTCAGGGGAGGCAGGATACGCTTGCCCCGGATCTTGGGATCCAGTGGCAGCGGGTGGGAAGGCAAAGACCTGTCTTTCATGGTCTCGCAGGACCCACCGCCCTACTTGCCGTGGGTGGATGTCCTGAGGGCGAGACCAAAACCAAGTGGTATGCGGGCTGCCGATTGGTTCTCTGGACAAGCAGGGTACCGCAGTCTCCCAGGCATCAAGGAGGGTTTTTTCATGATACATGACGTGATGAATGCGGTCCCCTGTCATTCACAGCAAGGCATTGCTGCACGAAAAGGTTAATCGTACGACCAGTTTCCTCATGACGCACGACCAGTTTGAGCAGGGCAGGGGGGAAGTCGAATTGGTCCCGCCACCCATCATACAAGTTGCTATTCTTGTCGTACCGTTCGGTCAGTGCGAAGTAGTGCAGCAGGTAGATATGGACTGGGTGACCTGACTGCTGGAAGGAGACTTCCACGTCCAGGACACCGTAGTCGATGTCGTCGAAGCCAGTCTCGAACCTAACATAGTGGGTGACATCAATTTGGTTACCGCTGTCGAGTTGGACAGGTTCCGGTAAGTGGTCGGCGGCCCAAGGCGGCAGCGAGGACATGTGTACCGCAGGTGCACTTTAGCGTGTCCGTTCAAAGAAAGCTGACAGGAAGCTGACAGTTGAGCCAAGGCCACCATCAACAAGTTAGCAGCAACTGAACAGCAGAGGAAACAACACCAAGAAGTGTCAACACTCACGTATTGTTGCGTAACCCTGACTTGATTGCCTCTGCCTAGGTGCCTTTTTATCCACTTGTACCTAGCAGGGGAGACAGGGCGGAACTCCCCTAGTGCCTGTGTGCTTACTGAACTGGACATTTCTTCGGGTGCGCACCAGGCCGTGGGGGTGGATCGAAATCTTCGCCGCCATCTGCTTTTGCCTTCTCTGCTTCGGGTGGTCGTGGCATGTTTCGTGCAGGCTGAGCTTTACTTGCTGCAGCTGGGCCTTTCGAGGAGGGCTCCATGTGCGGAGGGCTCCTGGTACCTTTAGGCAGTTTCCGCTGTGCTGGGGCACAGGGTCTAGGGGCACCTCCCCTGGGAGGTTTACGCGCAGCGATAACTCAATGAGCGGTTGTCTGTCCTGGCTGTACACGAGTGCACACCTATGGGGGCCAACAAGGGCAGGCAGAGCCATGCTAGCTGGAGATAGTTGCTACCAAGCACTGTCACGCCCCAAGTTCGAGCCAAAGTTTCTGCGACGAGATGAGGATACCTTGAGCTAGCATTTTCCTTGCATGGCAACAATCGGGGGCGTGTCAACCCCTGCGAGGAGTGCAGAGAGCAGTGAAAAGGAAATAAAATATATCCGTACTGCACTATTTTGGCCTGCGCGATGTCTCAAAGGAGTGCTCGAAGGA